AGGGAAATAGCTATTGAGCAGGATCAAAAATCAGATCGCCCAATCTCTAATCACTGTACTGTGGTGTTCCTTTCTTGTCTAGTTGTTAGAACTTATAGTTTCCTCTACACTCAGAGGAATAAGTGATGTCCATATGCTATTCTTTATATTGGGGTGAAATTACAATCATGTTTATATTATTTTTAAGGTCCTGAACCTCTTTCTGGCCTTGCTCCTGAGCTCATTTAGTGCAGACAACCTTGCAGCCACTGATGACGACAATGAAATGAACAATCTCCAAATTGCTGTGGACAGGATGCATAAAGGAATCGCTTATGTGAAGAGAAAAATATATGAATTTATTCAACAATCCTTCGTTAGAAAGCAAAAGATTTTAGATGAAATTAAACCACTTGATGATCTACACAATAAGAAAGACAGCTGTATGTCCAATCATACAGAAATTGGGAAAGATCTTCGCTATCTTAAAGATGTAAATGGAACCACAAGTGGAATAGCAACGGGCAGCAGTGTTGAAAAATACATTATTGATGAAAGTGACTACATGTCATTCATAAACAATCCCAGTCTTACTGTGACGGTACCAATTGCTGTAGGAGAGTCTGACTTTGAAAATTTAAACACAGAGGACTTCAGTAGTGAATCAGATCTGGAAGAAAGCAAAGAGGTAAGATTTTGTAGTTGTGGGTAGATATGACTATGTATGTGTATTTATAATTATATATTTTCTATCTAGATTTTTTTTGCCATCATATAAAGTTTTATTTCACTGATAAATCGAAGATTTAAGACCAGGGAAATGATTGATAAATTGAAGAGTAATGTAGTTTTTGTGTGAATTTTCTCATTTTTATTAATGGATATTTGTTAGATGGTGAATAAGTGAGTGATCCCAGAAATGAATAAGCATCATCTGACTTAATACATATGATAACTTTGAAAGGAATGTGTTATTATTCTAAATTTTCAGAGAAGAAAATTAGCTGATGGAGCTTAAAGTCATATAACGAATGAGGGGTATAGCTGAGAATTGAACTTACAGTCTTTGTTTACAAGGGTTTGTATATCTTCCATTGCATCACATTGTCTCATATACATGGAAGAGAACTTAACAAGAAGAAATATCCTATATAGATCCTCCAATTAAAATTATAGTGACCTATGTGTTAATCTTCCAGGATGCCATAGAATATGTCGTACACGGCATGGTTTAAGCAACCAAAATATATTCCTTCACATTTCTGGAGGCTGTAAAGTTCGAGATCAAGGTGATAGCAGGGTCGGAGTCTGGTGAGAGTGCTGTCCTGGGGCTGCAGATGGCTGCCTTCTCACTGTGTGCTCACCCGGCCTTTCCTTGATGTCATTTGTGGAGAGACAAAGAGCTCTGGTGTCTTTTCCTCCTCTTTAAGAGCAACTGCCCTGTCGGATTAGGGCCCCACCCTTAGGATCTCCTTTAACCTTTATCAATACCTCACAGGCCCTGTCTCCAAATACAGTCACACTGGGAGCTAGAGCTTCAAGAAATTAATTGTGGGGCACACAATTTACTCCATGGCAACTTAATTAGAAATATTAAGCTAAAACTCTAATGGATATGAAAGATAATTCAAAAGAAGTCTAGAATAAAGCATCTTCATTTCCCATTTATTGTGGGGAAATCTCAAAAACAAAAAAATACTCTTTAGTTTACATTGTTTAAATTGTTTTCTTTTTTTAATTAAAAGGGTTTGTTTATCTTCATTTTAAGATAAAGTGGAGGTAATAAAAGAAATGTGAAATAGGGACAGATTATTATTATTATTTTGAAATTTATTTGTATTGATTTTTTTTACAGAGAGGAAGGGAGAGGGATAGAGAGTTAGAAACATCGATGAAAGAGAATCATTGATTGGTTGCCTCCTGCACACCCCATACTGGGGATCAAGCCCGCAACTCAGGCATGTGCCCTGACCCAGAATCAAACTCTGACCTCCTGGTTCATAGGTTGATGCTCAACCACTGAGCCATGCCAGCCAGGCTAATTAAAAATTTTAATGTTGACATTATTGCAAGTATATTCCACTTTCCCTTCCTTTGCCCACCTCAATCCACCCTCTCCTCCTCCTCCCTCCGCCTTTACCACACTCATGTCCATGGGGTTCGCATAAATGTTTTTTAACTAATCTCTTCACCTTCTGTATCTAATCACCATCACCCCCCCCCCATCTGGTATTTGTCTTTCTCTGATTGGATTATTTCACTTAGCATAATACTCTCTAGTTCCATCTATGCTAATAACAAAGGATAAGAGTTCCTTCTTTTTTACAGCCATGTAGTGTTCCATTGTTTAAATGTACCACAGCTTGTTAATCCACTCACCTGCTGATCGGCACTTGGGTTATTTCCAGATCTTAGCTATTGTAAATAATGCTACTGTGAACATAGGGTTGCAAATATTTTTTGATTGGTGTTTCAGGATTCTTAGGCTATATTCCTAAGAAGTGGGATCACTGGGTCAAAAGGCAGTTCCTTTTTCTCTATATCCTTGCCAGCACTTGTTGTTTGATGATTTATTGATAGTAGCCATTCTGTGAGGTGATACGTATATTACAAACTATATAATATTGTTATGAAAATTATTACCATTTATTCAGTAAGCATATGCCAAGCATTCCTCATGTGTTATCTGGTTTGATTCCTATAGCAACTATGTGAAGTAGGGACCATTTTATAAATAGAAACTAAAGCTTAAAGAATCAAGTTAATTGCCTAAGGTCTATAAAACAGTTATTGAGACTCAAACCCAAGCCTGTCTGACTAAAAAGAGAACTAAACGCTTTCAGTAGACACATTAAATATTTGTTAACTAGAGGCCTGGCACGGGTAGGATCCCTAGGCCTGGCCGTCGGTCAGGGTGATCAGATTCCCTGCCTATCAGCCTCACCCCCCTGCTCCTTCCCTCACTCCCTCAGCACCCCGCTGCGGCCGCTGGTTGCCCGCCATGTTCCACGCTGCCCCTGGTGGTCAGTGCATGTCATAGCAAACGATTGAACTCTCAGTCAAACTCCTGAGGGGACAATTTGTATATTAGCCTTTTATTATATAGTACTAGAGGCCCAATGCACGAAATTTGAGCAAGGGGCTTGGCCTCCGCCACGGTGGCAGCTGCCTCTGCCTTGGCCCCCGCCGCAGCAGCTTTGCCCAGAAGGTCGTTTGGAAGTTCGTCAGGAAGGTCGACAGGAAGGTCAACAGAAAGGTGGTCTGGTCTAATTAGCATATTACACTTTTATTATTATAGATTATGTTATTTGACATTAAAAATTAATATCAAAACACTAGTGACTCTGCTCAATATAGCAAAATGAATTTAAAAATGGAAATTACTCATTTGGTTTACAATTTTATTTTCTAGCTGGGAATTATTAATGAATTGTGCAGATTTTTTTTTTTTTGGTGTCTAACTTATTTGCGTTATAATAATTTTCTGTTGGTCCAATATATGATGGAATGTTATTTTTCTTTTGTTACTTTAAAGCTAATCATTGATACAAAAATTCATGTTAAAAAGCAGAATTTAGAATATATTAGAGTTTTATTCCTCCACCATCACCTCTACTCTGGGCAATTGTTTAACTATCATTAGATTTCACAATAAGAACAATTCAATATTTAGTAAATGTGAATAATCTACTGAAGACTGACACTCTAACAGACAGCTTGATGAAGAAATCATCTGGGTTTTAGGGATGATGTGGGAATTAATGACTATTTACTTTTTCTAGCTGCTCTGTGAAAATACTAAATCTCTGTACAGTGGTTTTTCCTTTGATATTATATGGGTGTTTTGTTGAGAGTCTTTAATAGAGGCCATTTTAAATTTTAATATGCTTAGTGTACATTGGAAATATTTACTAATGCACAATATACACAATGAAATATTAATATTGTTGAGGTTGTAGAACATCTCATTTACGTATGACTTAAGGTTATATATATATATATGTATATATATATATATCTTAAATATATAATAATAGTGAAAAGTTCACCTTTAATACACTAGGCATGTATTAAAATAGTACATGCCTAGGTTTAAAAATAAATATTTTTCTCAAAAATAATATTTATAGACACATACATATTCTGTACCCTTTTGACCCTAAATTCTAGGTTTATTTTTTAAAATATGTTTTTATTGATTTCATAAAGGAAGGGAGAGGGAGAGAGAGACAGAAACATCAATGATGAGAGAGAATCCTTGATTGGCTGCTTCCTGCATGCCCCCCACTGAGGACTGAGCTCGGGATGTGCCCTGACCTGGAATTGAACTATGACCTCCTGGTTTATAGGTCAAAGCTCAACCACTGAGTCACACCAGCTGGGCCCACTTTATTTTTAATATATTTTAGCTCTTATTATCAATTGAACTTATATTAAATACTATAGATAAGTTCCCTCTAACAAACCAAGTCTAACATAAAAGCAAAAACATCCTAAGATCAAGTCAGAGAACAAGAAAATACTATTTAATCATGTACTCTTAAAATAATATCATGGAGTATTTTATTTGCTTCACTTTGTTTTCACACTCAGGGTCAAAATCATTTGTTTCCATAGCAAACATTTTTAAAAGGAAAAATGTTGCATAAAGCCACTGAGAAGAAAAATGTTCCTACTATCAGGGCTGTAGTTATTAAATGGTTATTGTACGAGGCTAATTGGATGCCTCAGGCACCATGTGTTTCCGGCATTCTCTAGGTTCCCTTGTTACGTCAGCCTGCCAAAAACACATGGAGAATGCAAGTCAGTGCAGACTCTGTAGTTTAGCTACTGAGAGTCATGTGTAGAAATACACCTGTTTTCAAATAAACTAGCTCATTTTGGAAGTTAGTAAATTAAAGGCTGATTAATGGTTTAGTAAACATTAACATGGGTTTTTAAAATAATCTATTAATCTAAAAGCTATGAGAATCAGTGGCTTTATTAGGTGAATTTCAAAATAAAATAAGATTTTAATGTAAGAACAGAAAAGGAAAAGTTAATTGACCTTATTGGTTTTTAAATCAATAAAATACTTGTTTGAGGATGTTTTATTTTGCTGTTATTCAATTTATTTAGCATTTTATTTGAATGTATATCTAGTGTACTAATGTAGAAACAGATTCTTTCCACAAATCTTTCCCTTCTCTTTTTGTATAATAGTGTTATTACCCCAATCAATAAACTACTCAGAACCACTTTATCTTTTCTTTCAATAATGAGAACTATACGAATATATTGATAAAAGTAATGTATACTGATTGTGAGGGTTTTAATAATATTCTTTTAGCCTTTGATAAAACAAAGAAAAATTCAAAAAGGACATTGATAGCTTGAATATTATCCTATATAATAAAAGTGTAGTATGAAAATTGTCTCCTTGACCGGGAGTTTGTCTGGAGTTCGACCAGGGGGTGGGGTCGGCCGAGGGAACGGAGGGAGGCCCTGGCCGGAGGTGGTGGTGGCAGCAGGCGGCCAGAGGGAGGAAGGGAGGCCCTGGCTGGCGGCCGCTAGGGACCCTACTAGTGCACGAATTTTGTGCACTGGGCCTCTAGTAAATAATAACAGTAAATATGCTATAAACGTTTATTATTTCAAAAATTATATTTACAGAGAATTCTTATTTTTAAATGCCCATGTTACATTTATATAAATTAACAATATACTGGATCTCAAAGTAAACCTCAATAAATTCAGAATAGTAGATACTGCATAGTGTAATTGTCTCCATAAATTCAAAATGGAAGACATCATGTAGGTTATTATCTAATCACAATGCAGCTAAACTAGAGATTAATAGTGAAATGACAAGAAAAAATTCTAAACACTTGAAAATTAAAAGATTTGCTCCTAAGCAAATATGGGGGCTTCTCTAATCCATAGAACAGTGGATTGCTTAGTACATGTTTCTGATTGGCTATTTGTGACTTCATGACATAGCAATCTGAGTTCACATCTACATTGTGAGTTATGGCAAAGAAGTCCATATAGGCAATTTCCTTATTTCGTCTTCTTATCCAAAACCTCTTCGTTTCAAAGAGAATTCAAAATCAGTTGATACTACTAATCCCTTCTTGGTGGGCTACTTATTACCAAAATTAAAGTGATTTGCTAATTATGTCCATCTCGTGCACAGAAACTGAATGAAAGCAGCAGCTCATCTGAAGGCAGTACCGTCGACATTGGCGCCCCTGCAGAGGAACAGCCTGTGGTGGAGCCTGAGGAGACCCTGGAGCCTGAGGCCTGTTTCACAGAAGGTAAGGAACATGACCCTCCTGCTAACCTTCCCTTTGTGGAGTGAACTTTTGTTTTGTGTGTGTGTGTGTGTGTGCTTTTAGCTCTTGATCACCCAAAATAGACCACTCATAACAGGATAGAACTTTGTAGTGGATCTATTTCAATGACCTCTAACATGCTAATGAATTTTCAATCTGTTATGTTTCAGCTATCTCTGCCCATTATGTGGTAGGGATCATGAATGTGGAGAAAAATACTTTAATATAATCAAAATTAGTGACTAATGTATCATTTTTAAAATAAAACGATTGCCAAAACCGGTTTGGCTCAGTGGATAGAGCTTTGGCCTGCAGACTGAAAGGTCCCAGGTTCGATTCCGGTCAAGGGCATGTACCTGGGTTGTGGGCACATCCCCAGTAGGAGATGTGCAGGAGGCGGCTGATCGATGTTTCTCTCTCATCGATGTTTCTAACTCTCTATCTCTCTCCCTTCCTCTCTGTAAAAAAGCAATAAAATATATTTTAAAAAAATAAAACAATTTCACAAGTGGGCATCTTTGTTTTCCCTATGAGTAGTAATTCCCATAATCAGATTTTCTGGAGAATTTGAGTTTTGAAGAGATGTATCTATTTGAATATTCTCTATTTAGTGATCCCTTCTTCAAAGGCCTGTTATCTAATATCTTCCTCTAATTCCTATATAAATTATACACATCACTCAAAGTCCTTCTCAAACTACTTTCATCTCACCATAGTGGAAAAGAACTCAGCAGCTATAATCAATAGATCCATTTAATTCTCCTGATAACTAGTCATATATTCTTTTATGAGAGCTCTTCTCTCTTTTGAACTGTTATATGTCTCTTCTCTTTTTTTCTCTCTTCCTCCATCCCTCTCTCCCTTCCTTCCCTTTCTGTTCTTTTCCCTTTTTTTTTTTCAGCATACCTGGCTTCTTTTTTCCCCCACTTGAGGCAGGTTTCCTGTGTTTATATCTTTTCTTGAAAATCGGGATGTAATACTATTGGGAGCAAGGTCCATGTTCTTTTCTTTTCCCTTTCTTCTTCCCTTCCTTCCTTTCTCCTCCCCCTCCCCGACCTCCTTCCTCCCTCCCTCCCCCCCTTCCTTCCTTCCTTCCTTCTTTCCTTCCTTCCTTCCTTCCTTCCTTCTATCCTTCCGTGTATGTATCCTCCCTGGTGCTTACAAAGTCATTCACAGTTTCCTGTTGATTTAATTCTTATGTTAGAGTGAGTGGAAGCAGTGTAAGGAAAAAAAAATGACAAATAAAGCAGGGCCATGCAAATCACATTTTAGTGAACAAAATTAATTTTGAAAATTATGTAAACTCTTCTAGGAGCGCCACAAGAAAACCTAAACAGTAACAAACCTAGCATTGTTGGGAGAGATGTAGGTTATTACTTTATATTCTCTTTAAAAGGGAAGATTTCTGTTTATTATTAATTTCCATTTTGAAGTCCTTTTCTAGTAGGAGTGGGAAATGTCCAGCCCGCGGGCCCTATAAGACCCATGAAATATTTTGGCCCTACCAAGGCATTAGGGGTGAGTCAATTAAATATTTGACCAAATATAGCAGGCTAATTTTTAAGTTGATAATTTTGTATGGCCCTGGAATGATATTATAAATATCCAAATGGCCCTTACAGGAAAATAACGTTCCCCACCCCTGCTAGAGACTTTAACAGAGGGCAATGGGATGACAGAGGAAAAGGCAAAGCTCCTTTACATTGATTTGTACCAGTGGTTCTCAACCTTCTGGCCCTTTAAATACAGCTCCTCATGTTGTGACCCAACCATAAAATTATTTCCGTTGCTACTTCATAACTGTAATGTTGCTACTGTGATGAATCGTAATGTAAATATCTGATATGCAGGGTGGTCTTAGGCGACCCCTGTGAAAGGGTCGTTCGACCGCCAAAGAGGTCGCGACCCACAGGTTGAGAACTGCTGATTTGTACTTTACAAAGTTCTTTATGGAGAATAACAGGTGAGTCAGAAAAAGCAGGTATTATTAGCCAAGGAACCATTTAAAGAGCCTGAATGATTTTATAACTTTAGCTAATAAATGTGCTCTCACTACTCAGGCTTAGAGAGTTATCCTAGCAAGGTAGAGCTGGCAAAGGGGAAGAAAAGATGTATCTGGGACATGGCAGACGTTATTATGGAAGCAGCAGAATTATTTTATCTATTTGAACATTATACTTGCAGGCTGTGTACAAAGATTCAAATGTTGCCAAGTCAGCGTGGAAGAAGGGAGAGGAAAACAATGGTGGAACCTGAGAAGAACATGTTTCCGAATAGTTGAACATAACTGGTTTGAAACCTTCATTGTTTTCATGATTCTCCTTAGTAGTGGTGCTTTGGTGAGTGAATATTAAGCAAAAGTGGTATAATCTAAGTTTTAGAGTAATCTAATACCAATGACTTATTAACCCTTTCTGTTGCATTGTTTTAGTAAATGCACATTTCCCCCTCAACTTTCATTGTACATCCATTTTCATTTCCACAGCATCAGCCATCACCCCCATTTAATTAATCCCTAACTGTTATCCCTGCTTATGACTTCTTCCTGGAACATAAATACATCTCTATATCAACCATCCTACCCTTGAACCCGTTTCCAAGACATTTTTAATTACTCCCGCCTGTTTCATATCTTCCAGACTATAGACTTAATGTATAACTATTTATTTCTGAATTTAATATATATATTTCTAGAAAGTTATTTAATTTTTGCTTATTCAGTAACCCAGAAAATTTCTCCCTCCAGTTTATTCATTATAACCGAATAATATGAATATTTAATTACTTATATTTTAATAAGAAAGTGAGCATGGCAGCTACAGTGAAGTTAATGATAATCCTGTGATTGGGAGTTTATAACTTTTAAACCCTGGTGAATTGTGTTTCTGAATGGTATTATTATCTCTTTATGGACAGTCAGTAAGTCTTTAGGAACCACTTCTCTGACCCTTTTGAATTATGAAACTATTCTTACGCTATTTAGGAAACAATGGATATTGGTAACAAATACTGGTCAGTGTGCCTAAGTGATTCATTTAAGGATTGGTTTCTCTTTATATGAAGACTTCCTTTACATCAGAATAAATTTACATTTATATAAAAATAAATTACCAAAATATAAACTGTAACATATAGATAGCATGTCAGAAAAAACACTAACACAAATGGAATACTTAAACCATTAGAGCGATGATAGATAGATGATAGGTGGATAGATGGCTCTTAATGTTTCTTTAACTTAAGTTTATAATTAGAATATAGGCCTATATTTTCTGCATACTTCTCTGATAAACTGAATTTCTTTATATACTACTAAGACAAGAAATAATACTTTACCACTGAAATAAATGTGAGACTTTGATGTGAAATATCAAGAGAGGTTCATAATAGAAGAATACATATTGTGGTCTCAATAAGAAGTAATTTTATCTAAATGAGAAGTAATGTAGACTAGTAATGTATCAGACCTTGTCTTTGCTGAGAAATATAAACTATCAACAAAATGAAAGGGGAAAGGGACAAATGAACCAAACCAGTAAAATTGGACAATGTGATTATCAGTTACAATTCTACTTTATGTAAAATATAAGCTTTACTTTTCATTTCTTCAACCTCTTTTCATTAGCAAAAAGCCAACAAGGGGAAGCAAAAGAAATCAAATAAAAGGAATAAATAACTTCAAGCTGGGATAGTACTATCAGGATATGACATCAAGCACTATTTTCTAATAAGTCAAATTAATTCATAAACATTTACTTTTTTTCTTTTAGCTATATTATAAAGAGAGACTATAACTTTTCCCTTGATTTATTAAAAGATCTTAAAGAGAAAAAAAAAGCAATAACTATTGTTCCTCTGCCCTCCTATTCCAATAGAATATCATACATATATATGTATATATAAGTATATACACATATATACTTATCAGAAAAAAATAGCTTATAGAGTGCAATGGTTTTAGAAATCTAAAATGTATAACTTTTTCTTACAGGCATTTGAAGATATATATATTGATCAGCGAAAGACAATTAAGACAATGTTGGAATATGCTGATAAGGTTTTCACTTATATCTTCATTCTGGAAATGCTTCTAAAATGGGTGGCTTATGGCTATCAAACATATTTCACCAATGCCTGGTGTTGGCTGGACTTCTTAATTGTTGATGTAGGTATTCTCCATATCTTTGTCTTCCATTAAAGGTAGTTTTTGTTATGTATATGCTAATTCTAAAATAATGAGTCTCTGACCACTATGTTGACGGGATGTGCTACATAATAGTCCCTAAACTAATTCACTGAATGTAACTGTAGTTTTGGTAAGAATAGGCTAATTTAGTAATGATTTAGCATTGGAAGGATGAGATTTGTGGTGATTATC